ACACAGTTTTTCCGTCTCTTCCTATATAGCAACAGCTAGAATCCACTTCAGTTTCTCTCACTTGTCCTTCTATTCTTCTCTCTCATATAATAGCAGAGCACAGCTTATTTATTTACACACACACACACAAATACACACTCACACGTCCACTTTTTTTAATATACATAGACAGACATGAATGACTGTCTCTAGGAGGAAACTGAGTCAAACAGAGGAGTCTTGCATTTTGTCCAGAACATGGTCATTCTTATCTTCAGCTATTCTGGCAGGAAGTTCCACAGGCTGAACTGTGCTGGCTTCTGAACAGGCTCATCTCCTACTTATACTAGTCTTAAACTCTCAACAGTTGGGGTGTCACTCAAGAAGATCGCCAACTCATGAAGTCAAAGATGCAGAAAGGAAGGTGGTGTTTGAGATAAAGGTTCTCAGTAAACTGGGACCAGGCAATGATCAAGACAAGGCCTTAGAACTTGATCCAGTCTTTGATGGGCAGACAGTGCAGCAATAGATGATGCGGTTCTGTCAATCTGTGTGTCAGCAAATGGGCTGCTTTGTTTTATACCAGCTGTATAGTGTTTGTGGATGCATTCCCCAAATACAGCACATTCCAAATTGAATTACTGCAGACAGATCTAGGTCTGACATTAGGATTAACAGGTTTCTGAACACTCCTGTGGTTAGATGTTGATAGATGTTTGGCTATCTGTGTGTGGTCCCTCTGTGCCGCCCCAGCAAAGCACGGTTGTTGGCAAAGCACGGTACTAGTATCCTGCAGACTCTACTGGGCCACTAATACATGTATGCCCATAACAATGGGTCAGCTTAGTGAACGGCTTATATTTTCTTATCATTAGGAGGTCTATCATCCTGTAATCCTGACTTTTCAAATGAAAGGAAGACACTAAGCAGAGCAATGAGCTTCCAAAATTCAAGTCTGCAAACAAAACTCAGTGCATAAGCAATGCCCAAGTCTTGCTGTTTGTTCCCAGAGCTCAGAAACAAGTACTGCTATGAAACATTACAGTCACTGAAGAAGCAACATACCCTGCTCCCAAGCAGCAGCAGCACGACGCCATTCTGGAAAGAGTTCTGTCCAGCATCCTGTTCAGAGTTAATGTGGTGCCTAGAAAGGAGTACTAAAGAGTAAAGTAGGACACGAGGTCAGGGGAAGAGATCCTCCATGATCAGAGACTTCCTTCTCCCATCAACTTCCCCAATTGGAGACAATTGGAGAAAAAAAAGCCTGTTAGAACTGTTATCCTGTATTTAAACACTCTTTCCTCTCTGTGTTAATACAGGATGTTAACTCCTGATAGTACTGCACTAGAGAAAACTATTCACCAACACAAAAAGCTAATATTCTGTATACAGTTTTCTCCACTTTGTATCCACAGACATTGGCTGAAATGTACTACAAACTGTACCCAAGAGATACTCCAACAATGTACTGTTTGCTAAATATTTCACAATCCAAACCAGCAACCTAGGCCAAACTTTGCATTGCAGCTTAGCTATCACACTGCTGAGTAAGCATTTTTAAAGTACTGCACAGAGGTTATGGGCATAAACACCACTAATATTAAGTATGATTTCTGCATGCACCTTTGCAAATCCCACCTCACTCAAACCCATTTGTCTATTTCTCAACTTCAGCCTCGAATCGACAGAAGCCACCATAGATCTTGCAGGTGTGCCTTTAGTTACAACTCATGGTCCACATGCAGAGGGATCACCAACTGTTCTCTGTAGCATACTGTCTTTTGGAAAATGTCTCATTTATGGAGTCTTTTCTTTATGGGAAATTTTTGCTTCTCAGATTGGCCATAATCAAAGCTAATTCATTTAAATTGAAGTGTAGGGCTCTGAAATCACACACATTTGACTTTTCATACATTGTACACAACTCCAAAGAGTCACCCAGTTTAGATTCTTACCTCTGTGTCACACAGATAGTGCATTATCTCAATGTTGTTACTATAATTAATTGACAGGGCAGCTATGTTTTGAGGATGACATTATTTCATAAATGTTAAAAGGCTAGGGAAATATCTACTGCCCACAGAAGTCCATGACAATTGAAAACCCAGACAAATTAAATGTAAATCACAGTATGCCGTTTAAGCAGCTATCAGCACATAAAAACCTGAATATCGTTTCTCTATAAATGCCACTGAACAGCAAAATAAGAGTTTTTCCCTGCTTGTCACTTCATTAAATTCTTCCTGTTGTCCTTCTTAGGGAACTGTACTTTGAAGAGAGAACATGACTAATTATGTATGTGCTGTCTTCAAAATGTGTATTGGACTCAACCGAGAAAGTTTTAAAGTAAGATTGGTTTTGAATCTTTTGAAAATAACTGCTAAACCATCAAGAGTTTTCAACAAGCCACATGTTCTTGTATCCTTTGACCTCTCTTCCCTCTAACCTTCTTTCTCCCTGTCCCATTTAGCCCTGTGCTGTGCCTAAATTAATCATAAGTACTCTAGGTAGGGGATCATGTCCCCCAGCCATCAATTCCTCAACAGTGTCATCTCCCAACCATCTTCCCTCACTAACATCCACCCCAACAGTGCTATCTTCCAACCAAACCATCCCTCTTCTCACAAAAAGCTGTCAATGCACCAGTTGAACCCACCCACCAACCTTCTCAATTAAAAGCCCAATCCAACCACATCTCCTTAATCTTGATGTTGTTGAGTGTATGGAGGGGAGTGGGAGTTAACAGACATGGGTTCTACTCCATCCCCAGTTCTGCCACTAACACTTTGACGCTCATGAAGCAAGCCACTCAACCTCTGTGGCCACTTCTCTCAAATTATAATTACCCCACTCTATAGCTTCAGTTCTCCATCTGTACAACAGATAATATACTTCCTTTGTACCACCCTTTGCCTGTCTTGTCTATTTCGCTAGCAAGACAATCGCCACTCTGAGGAGCTTACAACTGTATCTACAGCATCCAGCAAAATGGTGACCCCAAGCCTAATCGGAGCCTGTGTGTTCTACTACAGCACAAATAGTAATAGATATCTTCCACCGAATCCTAAACCCAAATACCAACAGCCATACAGAGCAGTCTTGTAAGCAGCCACCCCCCACAAAAATTATTAACAGTCCATCAGCCTGACCTCACTGAAGAGCCTAAACCTTCAATATATACTATCAATACACCACTATCACATTTACCACCCTAAAAATGGTGCACTACCACCCACGCATATTGTCTGGTTATATTTCATTGCATTCAACCATCTGTTAATTAAAACTTTGCCTCTTATAGCGGACTGAGACCTGCTGGAAGGTTTTGGATCTATTAATGATAGGAGTTGTTAATGCTTTCTTATTTAAAGGAAGATTGCCACCAGTTACAGCAAGGCCCTGCCTCAAGAAGCCATCTTACTGTTAATTGTTATTACTACAAATTAACTTATAATTTTTGGAAAACTACAGGTACATCTTTATCACCACCGTTCATATTTCCTACTGATCTGGTTTTAGGCATTGGTCTGATACACTTGCAATTGTTATTCACCTTCCAAGAAAGAGAACAAAACAAACCAGCATGGACTTGTCTATCAGCAGGTTTCAATACCAGTGACCAAGAGATTGCCGATTCCCCTTCAGAATCTCTTTAGCGGGTTCTTTCCTGTCCAAGAGACAGAGCCCTGCAAATCCATGCATATCCGCTTTAAACCTGCAGGTGCGGATATCCTCAGACCATTTTTACAGAACACAGATCGGCTGCAGATACAAATTTTGTAGCCGCACAGGGCTCTACCAGGAGGTGCTAAAGGATAACGAAGAGTGCTTACTCTTTCTCCTTAAATGCCATCTCATATGTGCAGTTATAAATGGCTCAACATAGGTAAGAAGAAAGCAATGCCAAATATGTAAGGGGAAGAATTTAGGCACTGGACAAGAGCTGTAAGTGCATTCTCTCTTGGGGATACATGACTGACCTTTGCTGATGTGTTTTACATTTTGTAGCGAAAAGGGCTCTATCATTCTTTCTGGATGCCTAGGTAGCAATCATGGCATTTAGTTTTTCCATCTAAAATTTGCTGCAAACCATTCTTTTCTCATGTGGATCTCACCACAGTGATCTCTGCCATTATAACTTAACAGTTCGCTATTGCAACATGCTGTATTTGAGCACCTGGAAACTTCAGCTAGGCAAAATGCTCGTCTCAAGTGGCATGAGATACTACTGACACATACAACCAGTTCTCTGTAACCAGTCTGTTAAGTGGAAGACTGGACTCCGCCTGTAAGTAATCTACAAACACAATATGACCCATTATTTCAGGGCTTATCTCTACAGCAAAAATGCATTGTATTAGAAAACATTAACTCACCCAATGTACAACACTAGCACTAATGAGGATAACCATGTTTAAAGTCGAGTTAAGGATAAACACAGCCAGCTAACCATTTTAAAACACAACTATTCTTATAAAGCAGTCAATGTAAACATACTGCACACACTACTTTTTCCCCACAGTAGGCGAGCTCTCTCCTGGTGCCCTATAACTAGAACTATGATCAGCTGGGCACTTACTGTCACCCTCCCAGGGCTGAATTCTTGAGTGCTAGGCACATTCCCAAGGGGAAGCCCGTATCTCTGAAACCTGCTCCTGGCCATTACCGGCTAGGGCCCAAGTGCAATGAGCATCAGGTGAAAACGCCGTGATTTGTTCCGTCAGGATTCATTAATTTGTGGTCCCGGTGACATCTGCAGAGGCGACACCTCGGGGAAGAGAGGAGATCTTCTGTAGGGGGATGCGGGTGGAAAGTCCTACCGAGTCTTGTTAGGCACACAAAGGACAAGCAACAGGCAGGAACGCCGCCCCCGGGGCTCCAGCCAAACCCCAGCTGCCCAGACAACCCATCAACGCCTTCCAGCTTCCCCCAACGCCCGCACCATTACCAGCGCCCTCCCCCCCGGAACAGCCTAGGTGGCAGTGTGGAAGGGCGTGCCCCTGCCCCCCGGCCGCACTCACCACACGAAGTCGTTGCTCTTGTCCTCGTACGAGTTGAGGAGCCCGTTGCAGAGCGGCGTCAGCAGCGGCCTCTTCCTGCTCCCGCCGCCGCCGCCTCCCGACGAGGAGCCGCTGCTGCCGCCGCCTCCCGACGAGGAGCCGCCGCCGGGCCTAGCCGCCCCCGCCAGCCGGGAAAGCCCAGAGGCCGCAGCCACCAGCACAGGCCGCGCGGGGGGCCCCGCGGACGAGGAGCAGGAGCCCGGTGCCGACGACGACGAAGAAGAAGAAGAAGCCGAAGTGACGGCGGAGGAGGCGGAGGCCGCGGCGCCCTGCCCAGCCGGGGTAGGGTGCTGCTGCGGCGGCTGGCGGCTGCCTGACATGCCGAGGCCGGGCGGGGGAAGCCTCAGCGCATCCTACGCGCTGCCGCCGCCGCCACGGCGAAACAATAAAGTTTTGTTCAAAGCAAGCACCGCCCACCCGACGGGGCCGGAGCCGCGCGCGCAACTTTATCAGCACCCCCCGCAGCGGCAGCAACGCGGGCCAACGGAGGAGCCGGCCTTGTTCAATCTTTATTGACAGGCCCCCTGCGGGAGACAGCAGGCCGGGCGGGGGAGTGAGGGGGACGCTCCGCAGCCACCGCGCACGCGCGGACTGCGTTGGGGAATGGGGTTCCGCCGACGCGGGGGTGGCGCGTGCGCAGCTCGCCGAGGGAGGGGCCGAGTGGGGGGCAGTTGACAGTGGCCAGGGTTGGCTGAGAGGCTCTTTACCCTCGATCTGCCCTCGCCGCCGTTCAGATGACCCGGGGGGAGGTTGTCTGTCTGTCTGTCCCAGACCCCACTCGCGGGCCACCCGTCGCCTAACTCCCATGCTGGCCAGCAGCTGGGCAGGCAAAGGTACTGGCAGGCCCATGCCACCCGGCCAAAGAGGAACTTCCCCAGGACAAGGTCCAGTGTTGGCAGCGGGGGTCAGCCCCAACCTCGGGCAGTGAGTGGGGCGAGCCCCCCGGGACTCCAACCAGCATAGCTCCCCCGCTCCATCCTCCTTGTCCACTGCCTCCCCCGCATTGTCGTGATGGAGGAGCAGCAGGGCCAAATTGGAGTGGGGGTGTGGCTCCCTGCACCTGGTTGCAACACCACTTGCTTAGATTTGGCTTACCCACCTATCCTGACGGAGTGGTGCTGGGCTGATGGAGAGGAGCCAGGTCAAAGTCGAGTGAGGTACAGTGTAACCTGTCACAAGGGGTCACGACACCACTCAAATTTGTGGCAACTGTTGCCGGCACAGAGTGCCCGAGGCAAGCAACAGCTGGGTTTGTTGCCCAGTGTGTGTCGCACCAATGACCACAACGGTGTGGAGAAGCATTGAGATTTATTTGGAGCTCCATAAAGGGCGCAGGGAGACTGAGCTGTCTCAAATTCTGCAGCAGCGCATGCAAATTTCAGTATACATTTTATACCTTTGCCTACTTTACTACACAAGCTTATGCAACCAATTACTTGTTGCCCCGTACAATACCGTAGCCAATCAGCTAAAGCAGCCAGTTGTGTTTTTCCTCAGTAGCATTGCCCAAGCCTTGCCTTATTTGGGTCTATTTGTTACTGATTTTTGCTAAACATTTCTGCCTTATCTATATATTTCCCAGGCCAAAGCTGGCCTTGGCTGGCGAGCTGTGTGCAAACCTGTCTGTTTGTGTGTTAGCTTCCTCATAGTTGTGCAGGGTCACAGAAAGTTCAAGGAGCAGAGGGGCCTCAGTTTATCTGGGCCTAGAGCAAGAGGGCTTCATCGACACTCGTGGTCTTCCACCCTCCCAAGTTACCTAGTGTAGTGCCCAGTGTCACCAATACAACTATAAAAATTACAGTGTGCGTTAACACAGTTTCCTCAACAACCATAGCCCACTATTTTCTTACAGCCTCGTCCACGTGATGGTGGCACAAATGGTAGCCCTAGGGGTCTGTACCCACCTTGAGCAAATCATTTAGAGCCTGATTTTCAGAGATGCTGAGCACTCATTGATTGATTTCAGCTGGAGCAATGGATGCTGGCCAGGGTTATTCAGTTTATCTGTACATCTAGTGCTTTACATATGGAACTGTCTGTAAGGAGAAACTGACTAAAACATGATACAATTCTGTGGTGACCTAGAATCCTATTTTCGACGTTTCCGACTCAAGGAATATTTCCAACACACCTCTGAACAACATATTAATCCACAGAGACCTTACTACGAATACTACAAAAAGAAGGATTCTGGGTGGACTCCTCCTGAAGGTCGAAACAACAGACTGGACTTCTACATAGAGTGCTTCCACCGACGTGCACGGGCTGAAATTGTGGAAAAGCAGCATCACTTACCCCATAACCTCAGCCGTGCAGAACACAATGCCATCCACAGCCTCAGAAACAACTCTGACATCATAATCAAAAAGGCTAACAAAGGTGGTGCTGTCGTCATCATGAATAGGTCGAAATAGGAACAAGAGGCTGCTAGGCAGCTCTCCAACACCACTTTCTACAAGCCATTACCCTCTGATCCCACTGAGGGTTACCAAAAGAAACATTTGCTCAAGAAACTCCCTGAAAAAGCACAAGATCAAATCCACACAGACACACCCCTGGAACCCCGACCTGGGGTATTCTATCTGCTACCCAAGATCCATAAACCTGGAAATCCTGGACGACCCATCATCTCAGGCATTGACACCCTGACAGCAGGATTGTCTGGCTATGTAGACTCCCTCCTCAGGCCGTAAGCTACCAGCACTCCCAGCTATCTTTGAGACACCACTGACTTCCTGAGGAAACTACAATCCATTGGTGATCTTCCTGAAAACACCATCCTGGCCACTATGGATGTAGAAGCCCTCTACACCAACATTCCACACAAAGATGGACTACAAGCCGTCAGGAACAGTATCCCCAATAATGCCACGGCAAACCTGGTGGCTGAACTTTGTGACTTTGTCCTCACCCATAACTATTTCACATTTGGGGACAATGTATACCTTCAAATCAGCGGCACTGCTATGGGTACCCGTATGGCCCCACAGTGTGCCAACATTTTTATGGCTGACTTAGAACAACGCTTCCTCAGCTCTCGTCCCCTAATGCCCCTACTCTACTTGTGTTACATTGATGACATCTTCATCATCTGGACCTATGCAAAAGAAGCCCTTGAGGAATTCCACCATGATTTCAACAATTTCCATCCCACCATCAACCTCAGCCTGGACCAGTCCACACAAGAGATGCACTTCCTGGACTGTACGGTGCTAATAAGCAATGGCACATAAACACCACCCTATACCGGAAACCTACTGACCACTATATGTACCTATATGCCTGCAGCTTTCATCCAGACCACACAACACAATCCATTGTCTACAGCCAAGCTCTATGATACAACCACATTTGCTCCAACCCATCAGACAGAGATATAACATCTACAAGGTCTCTATCAAGCATTCTTACAACTACAATACCCACCTGCTGAAGTGAAGAAACAAATTGACAGAGCCAGAAGAGTACCCATAAGTCACCTACTACAGGACAGGCCCAACAAAGAAAATAACAGAACGCCACTAGCCATCACCTTCAGCCCCCAACTAAAACCTCTCCAACGCATCATCAAGGATCTACAACCTATCCTGAAGGACGATCCATCACTCTCATAGATCTTGGGAGATAGGCCAGTCCTTGCCTACAGACAGCCCCCCAACCTGAAGCAAATACTCACCAGCAACCACACACCACACAACAGAACCACTAACCCAGGAACCTATCCTTGCAACAAAGCCCGTTGCCAACTGTGTCCACATATCTATTCAAGGGACACCATCATAGGGCCTAATAGCATCAGCCACACTATCAGAGGCTCGTTCACCTGCACATCTACCAATGTGATATATGCCATCATGTGCCAGCAATGCCCCTCTGCCATGTACTTTGGTCAAACTGGACAGTCTCTACGTAAAAGAATAAATGGACGCAAATCAGTTGTCAAGAATTATAACATTCATAAACCAGTCGGAGAACACTTCAATCTCTCTGGTCACTCGATTACAGACCTAAAGGTCGCAATATTACAACAGAAAGACTTCAAAAACAGACTCCAAGGAGAGACTGCTGAATTGGAATTAATTTGCAAACTGGACACAATTTAACTCTAGGCTTGAATAGAGATTGGGAGTGGATGGGTCATTACACAAAGTAAAACTATTTCCCCATGTTTATTTCCCCCCCCCCCACCCCACTGTTCCTCAGACGTTCCTGTTAACTGCTGGAAATGGCCCACCTTGATTATCACTACAAAAGGTTTTCTCTCCCCAACCCCCCCCCCCCCCCGCTCTCCTGCTGGTAATAGCTCATCTTAAGTGATCACTCTCCTTACAGTGTGTATGATAACACCCATTTTTTCATGTTCTGTGTGTATATAAATCTCACTGTATTTTCCAGTGAATGCATCCAATGAAGTGAGCTGTAGCTCACAAAAGCTTATGCTCAAATAAATTGGTTAGTCTCTATGATGCCACGAGTACTCCTTTTCTTTTTACCTATGCAGTGTACTTTTGGCCATGTTCGTCCCAGGATATGAGACAAAATAGATGAGGTAATAACTTTTATTGGACCAACTTCTGTTGGTGAGAGAGACAAACTTTCAAGCCACACAGAGTCCAGACCTGAAGAAGAGCTCTGTGCGGCTTAAAAGCTTGTCTCTGTCACCGACAGAAGTTGATCCAATAAAAGACATTACCTCACCCACCTTGTCTCTCTAATCCTCTCTAAGTGTGAGATAGTAATGGATTGTACGATCACTGTGACCAGCCTCCAGAGGGTGCTATGATCAAACGCATTAGGCCAGTGTACTGCACATGCATTTATGGTAATTGTATACGCAAATCAGAGAAATTACCCTCCAAACTCCACATTGGCATCTGTAATCATTTGCATTGTATATGCAACTGCAGTAAATGCACACAAAATTGAGGGTACACCTTTGCAGGAACACATGTTGGATCATATTAAAGAAGTTCTATATTAAAATCACAAATGAATTTGATTCCCCATAGTTTAAATTCCAGGGTATTACTAATTAAGAGGTCTCTTGGTTTTTGGTTCTGTTTCTCTCCCTCTATGTGTGAAACTTGCAAGCTGCTAATTGTGTTAGTACATTCTAAGACAGAGTCTGTTCTCAAAGCAATTCTTTGTAACAACTACTCACACAGAGAGAGACTCAAAGCAATACTCTGTAACAAAAGAAACAGCACCCAGAGACTCCCCGCCCTTTTGTTGTATTCATCTTGCTTTGTTAACAATTGTGATTAAAATAGAGATAGAGGGTGTATGTGGATGGATGTTTGGTGTGGATAATAACTGAATGATCAGGGAGGTGCCAGCCTAAGAATCCAGTGTCCAGCGGCTGAAGAAGGCGTCAAGTGGAAATAACCAGAGGACCCCCAGAGGGCAAACTGGAATCCACC